TGTCCCTTGTGTCTAGCATTTATTTAACCCCTTTATCGAGAGATGAGCTGGCACATGAAAGGCCAGGGACACTGGCCTGTGCTCTGGGTGGGTCTTATTGCTGCTGGTTTTGAGTTTAAAATACAGAGGGCTGGGTGCACTGGAACATGCTTCTCCAACAGACGTGACGCCAGAGCAGCACGATGCATGAGGGAAAAGCTGGCCTGGCTCCCTCCAGCCCTTTTCTCTCCATTCAGAGGTAATATCAACCACTCAGCTTGGTAGAGAGGCCATGCTGTTGCTCAGAAAAACTGATTTTCCTAAAAGTTATGGGCTACTTTTACTCTTCTACCCCAACACAAGGCAGAGAGGCCCTGTTCCTGGCACTGGTTTTGCAGCCCTTGGAGAAGGGGTACGTCTGGGACATATGGAGAGAGCCAAGCATCAGCTTTGCTGAGACAGGATATCACTGAGCTATGCCGCTTCCAGTTCTAAATGGGGAGAAATTAATGAGCACTTTCCTCCAGCCTTGATTCACCTCCAGATCCAGCCTGCTTTCTGGGGAGAATTTTTAATTCCCCAGGTTTTTTGACACTTCATACCCTTTCTGTGAATCCTTTCCAGGCTTCTCACCTGGATTTTTTTTTTTTTTAAATCTGTTTGGCTATGGTTGCTGCTGAGGGGAGGGGGTGGTTCCTTGGCTGGGCACCCATTTGCAATTTCCCCTGATCCCCTTAGGTAGAAGGCCATGCACGTCTCTGCCTGCTGAAAGAATGTGGGATGGCTCCATCTGCGGCCGTCGGGGATTTTTTTAATACACTGGCTTTGTTGCATCTGACTCTTGGGTCCACTTCCCTCCAGGATAGGTGGCGGGAGCTGTCTGGCTTGGGAACCACTATCCCAGGAACCATCCTCAACACATCACCCCAGAAAGTCTGGCCCTGGCTTGCTGACTGTGGTCTCGTACAGGCCAGCGGAGTGATGAAACAGCTGGTGAACCTGCCTGAAGGAGCCCAGTGGGTTTTTCAGAGATAAGAGGAAGAGATGACTCAGTTTCTAAGCATGTATATAGGGAATAAGGTGGAGGCAGCTCTGCAGGACAGCACTGAAGGAGGCAGGGTCTGACTGTGACAAATTCAAGCCATGCTGGCAATAGGGAGATTGTATGTGGGGCAACTGGCTTGCAAGGCTTGGGTTGGGTACTCAGCAGGACTCAAGAAGTAGCCAAACATCCAACCAACCCACATTAAAACAGGGTTGGATTAATTTGGCAGGCTGAGTTTCAGTTTAGTGACAAACGCTGATACAGGGCATGTTAATCTGATCAAAATGCTTTCCCTTGAGTTTGGGCGCTTGAGACAGGTTCTGGTGTTGGTCCTGGTACCCCACACCAGCAGGCCCAGCAGACCAGAGGCCAACAATAGTCTTGTAGCATTTGCAGCTGTATTATTTTGAGATTTGGTGGTGGCTTGTTGCTGTCATACAAACATAAACTCTTAGCTCGGTGCTTTCCTGATACTTTCACCTATGGTAGCTCATGGTTCTCCAGCCTAAGTAGTCCTAGGATTTTGGGTCCTAGGCCAATGCATGAACTGGAGAAGGGCATTAGGGCTTCTGCTCTGTATCTTTGTGGGGAAAGCAGCACCTAAGCCTCAGTTGAATGTCACAGCCGAGTCTGAGGACTTTGCTGGCTTACTTCCCCTTGCCTGTACTGTCCTCAGCACATCATGGGCAGTAGCCCCCCTTTCCTCAGCAGGCATCAACACAGCAGAGAGGAGACAGTCTCAGAGGTTCCTGGAGTGTGTGGAAGATAACTTCCTGACGCAGCTGGTGAGGGAGCCAACCAGGGAAGGCACACAGTGGAGCTGTTGTTTAAGAACAGAGAAGGACCTGTGGGTGATGCGATGGTTGGAGGCGTCTTGGGCACAGCCATCACAAAATGATAGTTTTCGATTCCCACAGAAGTTAGGTGGGGGGTCAGTATAACTGCGACCTTGGACTTCCGGAGGGCAGACTTACAGTGGAGCTGTTGTTTAAGAACAGAGAAGGACCTGTGGGTGATGCGATGGTTGGAGGCGTCTTGGGCACAGCCATCACAAAATGATAGTTTTCGATTCCCACAGAAGTTAGGTGGGGGGTCAGTATAACTGCGACCTTGGACTTCCGGAGGGCAGACTTTGGCCTGTTGAGGAGCCTGGTAGACAGAGTCCATTGGGAGGCTGTCCTGAAGGGCAAAGAAGTACCAGGAAAACTGGGCATTCTTCAAGAAGGAAATCTTAGAGGTGCAGGAGCAGGCCATCCCCATGTGCCGAAAGATGAGCTGGCAGAGAAGAAGTCTAGCTTGGCTGAACAGAGAGATTTGGCTGGAACTCAGGAAAAAGAGCTCATGAGCTCTGGAAGAAGGGGCAGGCAACTCAGGAGGACAACAAGGATGTCGTGAGGTTATGTAGAGAGAAAATCAGAAGGGCCAAAGCCCAACTAGAACTTAACCTGGCTACTGCCGTAAAAGGCAATAAAAAATGTTCCTATAAATACACTAACAACAAAAGGAGGGCTAAGGAGAATCTCCATCCTTTATTGGATGAGGGGCAGAAATATAGTGACAGAGGATGAAGAAAAGGCAAAGGTACTTAATGCCTTCTTTGCCTCAGTCTTTATTAGTAAGACCAGTTGTTCCTGGGGTGTTCAACCCCCTGAGCTGGAAGATGAGGACGGGGAGAGAATGAAGCCCCCATAATCCAAGGAGAAATGGTTAGCGACCTGCTACACTACTTAGACACCCACAAATCTATGGGGCTGGATGGGATCCACCCAAAGGTGCTGAAGGAGCTGACAGAAGGGCTCACCAAGCCCCTTTCCACCATTTATCAGCAGTCCCGGCTCACCCCGGAGGTCCCAGTTAGTCCCAGTCTACTGGAAGTTACCAAATGTGATGTCCATCTACAAGAAGGGCCAGAAGGAGGATCTGGGGACTGATGGGCCTGTCATCCTAACCTCGGTGCCAGGGAAGGTAATGGAGCAGATCGCCTTGCGTGCCATCACACAGCATGTACAGGACAGCCAGGAGATCAGGCCCAGTCAGCATGAGTTTGTGAAGGGCAGGTCCTGCTTGACTAACCCAATCTTCTTCTGTGACAAGGTGACCTGCTGGATGAGGGAAAGGCTGTGGATGTTGTCTTCCTGGACTTTAGTAAAGCCTTTGACACTCTTTTCCACAGCAATCTAATTGAGA